TGACATCAGGTCAATAAGGAATAGAGGAAAAAAAAATCCTCTCATCGTAATTAGTTCAGAAGATATAATATCTATATCAAAATTAAATTGTAGCGCTAAAAAGTAAAGCAAAATTTTCAATCATAGCCATAGAACCTGATGTTTAAAACAATAGTAGACAATCATTTTAACTCCATATAATGTCTTAGATTATGCTAGATAAATTGAATAAGAATATGGATACTCTGAAATACCATATGTATGATGCTCGAAATATTTTTATTTGAACAGAGCAAAGGATACTCTAGAAAAATAATAAAGATGATGCTTTAAAATTATACTGGGGTAGAAAGCTATATCATACGCATCTTTGTTAGAGTTTTATGCTGATAATGTGTTATAAATAAAAAGAAATAGAGAAGAATCATACAAAGGAAGAGAGGATTAACAAGAGAGAGTATATCTCATTCTATTCAAGAGTGCTAAATATATTATACATACCTCTATTTATAAACATAGCTTTACACCTTTAACAGAATCTACAGATTACATAATAATATGAGATAATTGTAAAATATAGAGATAACGAGAGATAGTGAATATTATAGGAGATATAGGAAATAATAGGAAATATATGAACATTCATAAAGATATTATTATACTCATAACAGGTCTAAAATATTTCAACATCAACTTACTCTATCTTTGTTTTTTCAAACCCAAGCGTATGTGCTATGGGTGCATATTTCTTTTCTTCTTAACTCTAACTTCTCTCTCTTACTGTTTTCTCCTTAGCACATTTATTTTTTATTGAAAAAACTAACGGTTATTAAATATGAATATCTCTTGTAGTGAAAATTTGAAAACTGGTTCACCAAGGGGCTAAGTCTTAGTATTAAACCTAAACTACCTGTTGCTTGGCTTCTTCTTTTTTTTTTTTTTAAAGAGTTAATATAATCTTTGATCTTTTAAATTTACTTTCATTTTGGTTTTGGTCGTTCAAGTTTTAAACCATAGATTTTGTTACTTTAAGGGATGAAATGGTTTAACTTTTTATTAAATTATAAAGACCAATATTTTCAATAAAATAAAATTTGAAAAACAAAAACCTATAATTTCAAACTTAAAAAATCAAAATTAAAATAAAAGTAAATCTGAGAGATCAACTTATTTTTTTAATGCTAGAGAAACTTTCTCAAGATGTCTAGTCTTATTCCGGAATACAACACTGAGAATGAGATCTGTCCTAATAAGACCTAAAACATCAATCATTTCCGGAGTCATTTTAAAAAGTTTTTGTACGGTTTGATTTTTAAAGACAGAGATGTGGCGCCAGTTTTGTGTAATATGTCAACGGTTTAAATTTTACTCTTTATATATACAGAAATTTATTTTAAAAATATTACTAGTATCAAATAAGTTATTTATTTCATTCATTTTTAAATATTAACCTAAACTACCTGTTGCTTGGCTTCTTCTTTTTTTTTTTTTAAAGGTTTAATATAATCTTTGATTTCTTAAATTTGTTATCATTTTGGTCTTGGTCATTCAAGTTTCAAACCATAAATTTTAGTACTTTAAAGGATGAAATGGTTCAAGTTTTTATTAAATTATAAGGACTAATGTTTTTAATAAAATGAAACTTGAAAGATAAAAACTTATAATTTAAAACTTAAAAGATCACAATTAAAATGCCAGTAAACATGAGAGATCAACTTATTTTTTTAATGCCAGAGAAACTTTCTCAAGATGTCTAGTCTTATTCCGGAATACAACTCTGAAAATGAGATTTGCCCTAATAAGTCCTAAAACATCGATCATTTCCGGAGTCATTTTAAAAAGTTTTTGTACGGTTTGATTTTTAAAGACAGAGATGTGGCGCCAGTTTTGTGTAATATGTCAACGGTTTAAATTTTACTCTTTATTATATATACAGAAATTTATTTTAAAAATATTACTAGTATCAAATAAGTTATTTATTTCATTCATTTTTAAATATTAACCTAAACTACCTGTTGCTTGGCTTCTTTTTTTTTTTTAAAGGTTTAATATAATCTTTGATTTCTTAAATTTGTTATCATTTTGGTCTTAGTCATTCAAGTTTCAAACCATAAATTTTGGTACTTTAAAGGATGAAATAGTTCAAATTTTATTAAATTATAGGGACTAATATTTTTAATAAATGAAACTTAAAGGATAAAAACTTATAATTTAAAACTTAAAAGATCACAATTAAAATGCCAGGAAACATGAGAGATCAACTTATTTTTTTAATGCCAGAGAAACTTTCTCAAGATGTCTAGTCTTATTCCAGACTACAACTCTGAAAATGAGATTTGCCCTAATAAGTCCTAAAACATCAATAATTTCCGGGGTCATTCTAAAAAGTTTTTGTACGGTTTGATTTTTTAAAGACATAGATGTCGCGCCAGTTTTGTGTAATATGTCAACAGTTTAAATTTTACTCTTTATATATACAGAAATTTATTTTAAAAATATTACTAGTATCAAATAAATTATTTATTTCGCTCATTTTTAAATCAAAATTTAAAATTAAGGACATTATAATTTAAATTAAATCTAACCATCTATTACCCTTTTTCTAGGAAGAAGAGGAGGAGAAGGTACTTATGTCATTATCCGATACACGTCACATGTTGGTCCTAAACTAAAATTATTTTTCAAACAAAGTTTTTGGTTTTTTGTTTTCCAAAACTTGTTCTAAAAAATAATTTTATAAAATTGTTTTGAAAACAAGAGGGAAAAAAAAAACAGAAACAAACCTAAAAGTGAGGAAAAGTTATTTTAATTTTGAAATGGTTGTTGTACAAAATATTAGTTGCCCCCAAAATTATAACAAACATCAATTCTTCCATCCATTTTTTCTAGTTTTAACTAACTTGTGAAACTTCCTCATAATATTCCAATATGGACTTAGTGATACAAATTGGATAAGTTGAAGCTATTCACATAGCAACTCGTGAACAAATTAAACAACTTTACATATTTCTAAAGTTGATTGCAACTTTCAAGATGTTTTTTTGGTTTTCATTAGAAGAAGTTATAAATAAAAGATGGGTCATTTGATAGTCGTCTCTTGAGTTAGTTAAGATTATTTAAGATTAGTTGTTATGATGCTCCCAGATAATTTAATTGTGTATAGAGAAGGGAGGGAAGGAAAAAACTTTTACTAGGATAGCTTATGATGTACTACCTCCAGTCCTAATTATAAGACATTATTTATAGACTACAAATGAGATCTTCTAATTAGGACCGGAAGTAGTAATACATAATTTTTATATATTTAATCTTTCCACATCATGTTGTAATAAAGAGATGGTCAATCATATGGAGCAAACTAAATTGTTAGCAATCTTAAAATGGATCCCAGAAGTTTTTAAAAACATTTTTCATTGAATTTAAAGAATCGTAACTTCTTTTTTTCAAGGATCATCCCTTCCATAGTTCGGTCTTGTTATAAGTACCAAATAAATAATTTTACATAAATTAATGAAATTAGTTAAAATTATTTTTTAAAATAACAAAACCACCCTCTATAAAATTTATTAGTTAGAGAAGTTTGATTAATAAATTGGAATGCTTTATGATTATTAGCAATTTTTAAAAAAAATTAAAAGTATAAGTTTTTCTATTCCACTTGATATATTTAAAAATATTGGTCTGAAACATTTCAAAATTAACTTAGTCTGTGTTTTTCTGAATAATTAATTGGAATGCTTTATGATTGTTGGCAAATTTTAAAAAAAATTAAGAATACAAGTTTTTCTATTCCACTTGATATATTTAAAAATCTTGGTCTGAAATATTTCAACATCAACTTACTTTATTTATTTTTTTTGACCTGACAACATCAACTTGCTCGCTCTGTGTTTTTTCAAACCCTAGCCCATGCGCTGTGGGTGTATTTTTTCCTTCTTCTTAACCCTAGCTTCTCTCTCTTACTTTTGTTTTTGTTTGCCTGACTCTCTCTTACTGTTTTCTCCTTAGCACATTTATTTTTTAATTGGAAACCCTAACAGGTATTAAATATGAGTATTTCTTTTAGTGAAAATTTGAAAATTAATTCACCAAGGGACTAAGTCTTTTATTAAACCTAAACTACCTATTGCTTAGCTTCTTTTTTTTTTAAGGGTTAATATAATTTTTAGTCCCTTAAATTTGCTCTCATTTTGCTTTTGGTGGTTCAAATTTCAAACCATAAATTTTGGTATTTCAAGGGATAAAATGGTCCAAGTTTTTATTAAATTATAGAGACTAATGTTTTTAATAAAATGAAATTTGAAGGATAAAAACCTATAATTTGAAATTTAAAAGATTAAAATAAAAATAAAAATAAGCATGAGAGATCAACTTATTTTTTTAATGCTAGAGAAACTTTCTCAAGTTGTATAGTCTTATTCTAGAAAATAAGTCTGAAAATGAGATTTGTCCTAATAAGTCCTAAAACATCAATCATTTCCGGAGTCATTTTAAAAAGTTTTTGTACGGTTTGATTCTTGAAAACATAGATGTGGCGCCAGTTTTGTGTAATATATCAACGGTTTAAATTTTACTCTTTATATATACGAAAATTTATTTTAAAAATATTACTAGTATCAAATAAATTATTTATTTCACTCATTTTCAAATCAAAATTTAAAATTGAAGGCATTATAATTAAATTAATACAACAATCTATTACTCTTTTTCTAAGGGGTGTTTGGATAGAAACCAAACTATGGTTTCAGAAGTGCTTTTACGGATTACGAAGTAAATATGTGGAGGAGATTACTCGTTTTGCGGAAAAGTGCTTCTGAAACCATGGTTTGGGGTTTCCCAAACACCCCTAAGAAGAAGAAGGTACTCAAGTCGATATCGGATACCCGTCGGTCCTAAACTAAAATGGATCTATCAGGCCTAAGCGGCCCAACTTCGGCCCTTCATATATTTTTAGAAAGGTTCTGGAACGTTTGGGGATTGTTGGCAACCCTCATGGTAAAAGTTAAATCGTTTTTGTGACAGATGAACCGTTCATTAGGCGAGGCGGCGTCACCGGCCCCCCCCCTTTTGAATTTTAATCTTCTTCCATGAAGAAGAGTGTTTCTTTCCCTGTGCGTTCTGGTTTCTCAGAGAACCAGAAATCTGTTTTGCTCGGCGAATTAACCAGCTGCTGCATCTTCAATTCTGCATCGCTCCGTACTCACAATATGTTTCGTTTGTTCTGCTCCGTGATATAAGAAGTAAGAATCAAACCCAGTAATTGTCATTCACTTTACGTGTTCATATTCTAGATTCACTGATGTCATGCTTTTCAATAATGAAAAGCAAAATTGGATTCGTCGCCATTTTTTATTGACAGTTGAATTTGAATTTTCACTCCATATTTCATGTTGTTAGTAACTCATTTTTTCCTGGTTTGGCAGCTCACACGAGTGGTCAAATCAAGTTCACCAAACCTTCCTTTGGCGAATTGTGTTTTTTTCCAAGTCCAAGGTGGATGGAAGCAACCTCGAGGCATCCCTCACAGGAAGGTGCTTTGACTTTGTCTTCGGTTGTTTGTTAAATCTTTCCAGTGAGAATTTTCTCATGCTAGTTTCCATCAGCTTGGAAAATTAACTTGATTATGTTTCCCACGAAAAAGGAAATTTAAGAATTAAAAAAAAAAAAAACCTTAGAATTCAAATCAATGTTGTGCATGCGCTAATCTTTACCGGTCCACCTAACGACCCGTTCATTTCTTACCTCTTTGACTGGATAGACACCATCAGTTTCTTCATCGGTATAACAGCCAGCCGCCCTCCTTAGCCATCACTTCCTAGTTAAAATATTATTCCACTCTCCATTTTGGCCACCTTCTAGTCTTATTATTTGGATCGTAATTGTGTTTTACCCTATTCTAGGATTTTCCTCTGTTTACCAATGTTGAATTCTCAATCTTAAAAAACTGACTATAGCAAGGATTGTCCATGTTTATCTGGTTGGTTTGATATGGGACCAGTGACGTCAATATTTTCTTGCATTAATAACTGATAACACTGTTTCCTTGCATCTTTACCTGCTTGACTTGATATGAGTCATAACTGATTTACACTGTTTCCTTGTATTAATATTTCCAATGGAAAAGACGTTGGAAGATGAACCCACTATAATACCAATGACTGTTTCATTATAAGATATCGTATTGCATTTAGGAATTCCTCACCTGAAGCCATGATGGCTCTCTCTGAGATCTTCTCTCAACTTTGCACCAAGGCCGTAGTCCTGTTGGCTCTGCTTCTAATACAAGTTATGGTCCTCGTAAAGAAGCTCAGGTCAGACACACGTCCAGTTAATACCACCCAATATCTCAAACTTATCGAACAGAAGAACCCCACAATTTGTTTCACCAAGAGGTTGAGGCAAGAAGGTGCTGAGTGCAGGGTGTGCTTATCTGAATTCCAGGAAGGGGAAAAGGTGAGGAACTTGAAATGTAAACACACATTTCACAGAGATTGCTTGGACAAGTGGTTGCAGCAATATTGGGCTACCTGCCCTCTTTGCAGGAACCAAGTTCTGCCAGAAGATGTTGTGGCCAAGTATCGTGAACTTCAGAATCAGGTAGAATCTGATGGGAATGATGGGCAGATTATGTTCTTATTATCCGCGTTGCATGGAGGAAGTTCTTTGCACAGATTTCTTTAGAACTTGTCCTCAAGATAAGAACGAAATTAAAATCTAGCTTCTTGTATCTTGTACAGAGGGACTACGTCTTCTCCTTTTGGGATCTCGCTGAATAATTTGGATGTACCTTCTGCTAGATGTATGTCTGTTCACATGTTTCTTGTTTAAGATTATTATAAAAGAATTATTTCAAATTTCATTGTTCTGCTGCATGTTCCCATGATAAAGTTCTTATTTGAGCTTATGGTTGGAATTTTGTAGTGAAGGAGACGAGTCATGGGAGATATTTTGAGAAAAAAGGTAGAGGTTTTAATTAATTCTGGTGTCCCACATCTGAAGTGAAAAATCTCAGGCAGATATTTTTTGTGAGAAACTCGTCTGCACGACCATCCCTTTTGAGGATTAATTTCCGGTGAAAGGACTGTCTAATCCGTATGGATTTTCATCATGAAGGAAGCTCAACTTGATTCCTGGGCAGAGATGACAGCTTAGCTTCAAGTGCAAGGCAATAGGAGTATATAGTAATTTCAAGGGGACACTCCTTAATGCATTGGTGAGATGTTAGGTAAGGTTAGGAGGCTTCATGCTCAAAGCACTTTTTTTTGGGAGGGTGAAAATTTGCCCACAAACCAGAATGGCCTGAAACAGACAAGTATTTAGCTCTTGGATAGCTCGAAGGAAAGACATGTAGGGTAGGGTACTCAAGTTGCAAAGCCAGGAAGAAAGAGGAGGCAACACAACTTAGAAAATCATAGTTGTAATGGTTTCTCTCACTGGAGACAGAAACCATCAAGCCATCAGCATCATTCAGGATTTTCGATGCTCTTTTTCTTTTCTTTGTAATCTGTTTGTTTTCCGAAATCTCTCCTGAAGAACTACAGCCAACCGTTACAATTTTGTTTTTGTTTTTGTTTTAATTGCTTCCCTTGTAAAGTTACCCTGTCTCCCAATTTTCTCAGCAAGCCTGTGATTATGTTAATGACTTTTGTGAAGTGCATGAATGATCAGAGTTGAATAAGGCAAGTAATATTGCCTTATGGAAACAATTACTAGTGGCAATTTCTAATTAATTAATTTAAATAGGTTAAAAAATTAATTAAATTAGTTATTTGTAATAAATATATATTGTTTTTGAAATATTTTTACTAATAAAATATATTAGATAGTATTACCATTGAAAAAAATAGATAAATATAAAAGACAAAATAGATTAGGATTTTATTATTAAGATCAAAATAAAAATTAAACAAGTTTTTATATAAAGTACTGTGAGTCACAAAGCAAAATGTGGGTGTCCATATTCAATGACAATGTGCGGTGGTAGATGATTATGTTGAATAGTGTGTGGATCTATTTCAAAAGCCGTACTCTATGGTTGGTGTAATGTCTGGCACACTCGCCTTATTAGAAAGGTGAAAGCAATAAGATTCCTCAAGAAAGTTTGATTGGCGCACGTTTAGTACGATAAAATTCCATTATTGAATTGTGGGAATGGCACTGCAAGGAGAAGAACTGTGCCCACTCTTGGGCAACAAAGTCCCTCCTTGATACTCACTGGGATGATTCTCTCAAATGATTTCTGATTGATTTTTTTTCTTTTCTTTTCTTTTTTCTCTCCAATGGCGATAACGATTGGTTTGCTTTGCTTTTATTAACTTCGTTCAGTATTTTAAAACGAAACAAATGAATAGTGTTAAATTTATTTAAATTTCATTAAAAAGAATTATAATTATTTTATCGAAGTTCCTTTCTATATTAGTTTTATCCAGTCAGAAAGCAAAGCATGGTTCTATTTCTTTTTATGCCAGGAAACTCATAATATTATATAGAGTAGAATATAAAATTATGTTCCATCCATCTTTTCTTATTTTAATCAAGCAGAAACCTTATATTCTTGATCTTATATACTCCTCCGGTCCTTAATATAGGACTCAATTCTTGAGTTAGTTTTGTTCCTAAATATAAGACCCATTTATTATATTTATCAATTTTCTCTAAATTATTCCTATGAATATTCCCTCAATCATAATCAAGTAGAAGAGGGAGATGGGGTATTAGAAAGATCATTATGGTATTTTAGGAAAAATGTGTCACTTTTCTTATAATTAATTAACTTACCTAACTTCCTTAATCTAATCAAATTAGTTAAATGAGTTTTATATTAAGAACCGGAGGAGTATTTAATCTACTTACTTCAAATCAAATATCATAAGTGGATTTTAAAATTTATAATAGTATTAAAAAAAAAATTAGTTAAAAGATGCTATTTTTTTATTCAGTAATTAATTAATTTATCCAGCCTCTGTAATTTTACTGTTGCCAGATTCCGATTTTAACGAACGCTAGCTTCTCTGCCATGTCCCAACAAATTGTCTGAAAGGGAATGTTTATTCTATTGCCTGGCCGAGATGCTCATGGTCTTTTAGTTTAGATTTTTTGATAATTGGCACTAATATAAAGATTTTATATGTAGGATTGGAGGAGTATTTTGTTGAAGGATTAAAAAAATTCAACACAAAAAGGTCCTTAAAAATTAATTTTTTACAAATTTTACAAGTTTAAGTTTAACCCAGCAATAATAGGCCAACAATCTTATATCTTAGTGACATAAAACCTCTCCTACAAATAAGAGGTAATATGTTCCATCTTGTTCATAACCTGCTTGTCCATTTAAATGAAAAAAAAAATTAATAAATGATACTGATAGGCTTGTACATATAATTTGTTTGAATGTATTTAATTTTCTTACATAGAACTTTTGTGTAATTTTTCTTCTATTAAATTGTATTCTAGATTATTTAAATTTTATTTTACTTTCAAATTTTTTTTAATATATATTTCGAAACTAGGTTAGTTATCTTTTAGAGATAATGATTTAAAGGTTTTTAAATTATATTCATCTTTAATATTTAAATTTGAAAAAATGAAGATCGCACCATATTAATTCGTGAAAATATGTGAAAAAAATAAGAAAGTTAAAAATTATGTAGGGTTTAAAAGCAAATTAACTCTTCATTATGTGATATAAACATATTGTAGTTACTATAAAATTTTTGCAGTAATTTGAGAAAATGACATTTTGAGATCTCATGAGAAAAATAATAATACTTAAATATCCTTGTCAATTGAATTTCAGTGATTTTTAACTGGATTTCTATTATTTCTATTAAATAAAGTAATTTCGATGAAATCTAAGTCAATATTATATTTTTAAAGGGAAAACCATATTGGAGGTACCTATACTTTTTTTCAATTTTCAATTTGGTACCTATGTGTTTTTTGTTATTAACTAAATCTTTATTTTTCCTCTATTAACATCATTAATCTTTATGTAGAGACTAAAAATATCAATAGAACAAAGTTATAAGAGCTAATGTTGCTAAAAAGATAAAATTAAATGTTTAATTAAAAGAAAAAAATACATAGGTACCAAATTAAAAATTGAGAGAAAGTATGGATACCTTCAATATGGTTTTCCCTATTTTTAAATCCCATTAACTGTTTCCCAAAATGTCATTTTCCCTCTTAAATCTTCTGGTAGCAGGTGGGGATCATATAAACAAGATTGGTCCTTCTTTGTTGACTTTTGTGAGCCGTCAATTCTGCATTTTTAAGCTGCTGCTGTCAGAATGATTTTATGAAAATAATGATTTTTTTCATCATAATAATATTTTTCTTAATTGAACTGAATAATCTAATCATAATCTCACAAAAGAAAGGCAGGCAGGCCTTAGTGGAAGCTCTCCACTCTTTGGTCTCCATTGTTCAAGTCCTTTTGTTAAGCGGCTGGATGAAATATCATTTTATTTGAAATTGAAAAAGACTAACATAATTAAAAACATTCAAAAGAATAATTAATGCGCAAAAAGAAGCAACTTTCGTATAAAAAGAAAATCACATTAAAGAGGTAGGGACATGGGTTTCCTTGAAATAATCCAAAAACTTAGATTTGTTTAAAGATTTGCAATTTTTGACCATCAATATATGCGTTTTTTCTTTTTTGGGTGACAAAAGAAAAACATATATGTGAGTTTATATGTGTATGGTTGGTATCCGTCCGGATTTATCATGTAGAAGTAATCCTGCACTATATTAGAGGAGTTTGTCTTATAAAACGTTAAAAAAACATATTCTAAACTAATCCAAACAACTACTCAAGTTATTGTACCCTCTGCAATTATTGCTCTTTGTTTTTTTGAACCAAAAACCATTATTGCTCTTTCAATTCATGCATTTCTAAACTTATGGGTTGACTTTATGAATTAAACCCTCCAATCCATTCAATTGATAAGAAATTTATGAAATAGGTTAGAGTCCATTTTAATACTCCATCAAGTCTTTTTTTTTTTAAATATTATTTCTCATGTGATGAAAGGAATTCATGCAGTCATCAGTCATCTCATTTATAAATGATTGATCACATAATCCCATGTTTAAATAAGACTTGCAGAGGTAATATAAGTTGAGCCAAATATCTTAATTATTTCTAGGACCTTCACCAAAATCAATGAAATTCTTTAAAACGTATTAATTCTATTTGGAAATGAACAAAATGTCTAAATTTGTTCATTTTCAACTCATCTTTCCAACAACTAAAAAGGGTATATAAGATACGTCTTCACATTAATGATCAGACATTATCTCCCACTTATTCTTTTCATAAACAAGGGTATGTTTAGAAAATAAATTACATTTCCCACATATTTTATTTGATTAATTATTGCTTGTATATGAGATCAAAAGCAGTAATGGATTTGAATTGTTTATGATGAAGAATTAATTATATACTACCTCCTCAATATAAAATTCAATTGACTAATTTGGAGAGATTTATGAAGTTAAATAAATTATTTTAAAATATTATATTTATCATTTTCCTCCAGACTAATTTATTTGGCTTATAAATTGATATATAATCTAATGATACATATAAGTATTTCAGAAAAATCATGTCATATAAGTTATATAATTAAGTACTATTCTAGTCTTTTATGTAAGACCTAATTTGAGAGTTGATATTAGTTCTATATGTAAGATATATTTCTCATGTTTATCAATTTTTTCTCAACAACAATCAACTAGGAGAGGGAGAAAAAGAATTAAGGAAGATGATTATGATATTTCAGAAAAAACATATCATGCTGACTAATTTAACTTATACATCTTTAATTTATTCAAATTAGTTAATTAGGTCTTATATTAAGAACTGTAGAAGTAAATTTTTTTTAATTTTTTAATTTTATCAAATTAATTAACTAGCTCTTATATTAATGACATAAACCCTTAACAAAAAACAAACTAAGGGATCAACCAACTTAAACTTTTAAATTTAAAAAAAGG